CAAAAAGTGAAACTTGTATAATGTATACATTCATTCCACACAGACTGATATATTTCAAGTGTTCATTCCTTTTAATTTTGATGATTATAACTGACAACTAATGAAAACCCCAAATTCAGTAACTCAAAAAATTAGAATATTGTGAAAAGGTTCAATATTGAAGACACCTGGTGCCACACTCTAATCAGCTAATTAACTCAAAACACCTGCAAAGGCCTTTAAATGGTCTCTCAGTCTAGTTCTGTAGGCTTCACAATCATGGGGAAGACTGCTGACTTGACAGCTGTCCAAAAGACGACCATTGACACCTTGCACAAGGAGGGCAAGACACAAAAGGTCATTGCTAAAGATGCTGGCTGTTCACAGAGCTCTGTGTCCAAGCACATTAATAGAGAGGCGAAGGGAAGGAAAAGATGTGGTAGAAAAAAGTGTACAAGCAATAGGGATAACCCGCACCCTGGAGAGGATTGTGAAACAAAACCCATTCAAAAATGTGGGGGAGATTCACAAAGAGTGGACTGCAGCTAGAGTCAGTGCCACCACGCACAGACGTATGCAAGACATGGGTTTCAGCCACTCTTGAAGAAGACACAGCGCCAGAAGCGTCTCGCCTGGGCTAAAGACAGAAAGGACTGGACTGCTGCTGAGTGGTCCAAAGTTATGTTCTCTGATGAAAGTAAATTTTGCATTTCCTTTGGAAATCAAGGTCCCAGAGTCTGGAGGAAGAGAGGAGAGGCACAGAATCCACGTTGCTTGAAGTCCAGTGTAAAGTTTCCACAGTCAGTGATGGTTTGGGGTGCCATGTCATCTGCTGGTGTTGGTCCACTGTGTTTTCTGAGGTCCAAGGTCAACGCAGTCGTCTACCAGGAGGTTTTAGAGCACTTCATGCTTCCTGCTGCTGACCAACTTTATGGAGATGCAGATTTCATTTTCCAACAGGACTTGGCACCTGCACACAGTGCCAAAGCTACCAGTACCTGGTTTAAGGACCATGGTCTCCCTGTTCTTAATTGGCCAGCAAACTGGCCTGACCTTAACCCTATAGAAAATCTATGGGGTATTGTGAGGAAGATGCGATATGCCAGACCCAACAATGCAGTAGAGCTGAAGGCCACTATCAGACCAACCTGGGCTCTCATAACACCTGAGCAGTGCCACAGACTGATCGACTCCATGCCACGCCACATTGCTGCAGTAATTCAGGCAAAAGGAGCCCCAACTAAGTATTGAGTGCTGTACATGCTCATACTTTTCATGTTCATGCTTTTCAGTTGGCCAACATTTCTAAAAATACTTTTTTTGTATTGGACTAAAGTAATATTCTAATTTTCTGAGATACTGAATTTGGGATTTTCATTAGTTGTCAGTTTTAATCATCACAATTAAATGAAATAAACATTTGAAATATACCAGTCTGTATGTAATGAATGAATATAATATCCAAGTTTCACTTTTTGAATGGAATTACTGATATAAATCAACTTTTTGATAATATTCTAATTATATGACCAGCACCTGTACTGGCATAAAATTACTGACAGGCAAGATACTGCTAATAAGCAAAATCAATTACTCAGAAGTTTTTATTTGTCTACAGGTTGTCATAGATTTCACTGAAAATGAAGTTCCCATGGTTTTCATTGCTCATTGTTCAGACACGAGACACGTCATAACAAGACTTAACGTTTACAGCAATGCTAACAGTAAGGTGCTTTGAGCTAAATGCTAACATCAGCATGTTAACAGGCTCACAAGGATAATGTTGATGTTTAGCAGGTACTTAACTAAGGTTAACTCAAGTGAACAGTGGAGTATGGGGATCAGCAACATCAACAATGACAGCAGTGCATGGATGTGTGGTTAATGTGCTATGGAGGTGTTGAATGTGCAAATCAAAACAAAAGTGATGTGGATGGCAGCTTTTGGAAGGAAGAGAGAGTAACCTCAGGGCCCAGCTTTTTATATCCTAAGGGCCCAGGTGACTTTAATCAGCTGATGTCCCTCCCATGTCAGCCAATTGCCTGGTAAGGTCAGGTCAGCCTCTAAGACAGTGGAAGTGTCACAAACGTGATAAAAGACACGCACATAATTCTTCATCCATCCATACATACAGAATCATATCTTGATTTCATTCTGCTGCTAAATCTCTAACATACTTCACAGGAGAGGTATATTCTCCTTGTAATAGCATGTTTAAAGCTCTCTGTATGTCCCCGTGGTGTTGAGAGATGTGCCGTGAGGCGATTCAATCCGAAGGGCCAACTGATTGGTAACGAAACCTTATTTTCCAAGTATCGATCCTGGGGGCAACCTGCAAAATGCAAAAACCTCAGCAAGACAGATCTGCTGTCACTTCTTACAGTAGATATCAGGCAGTCAATGTCACATACCTCCAGTGGGGCCTGTATGAGCCTAATTCCACTCACTGGTGCTAAATAGTGAAAACCCTTGGGTTCATCAATCATCAATTCAAGGAGCACTCTTTAGTTAATAGTCCAGTCTTTACCCACTGAACAGCCACTGCATTTATCTGTGTGAGCCAGCAGACATTCCCTCTATGTGACAGAGGGAGGAAATGGGAGCAATATGTTTTACTTTGATTGCTGTATTCTCTTTTTCGCTCAGCTTGCTGCGCTATAATTCCCAATTTGGAGCTGTCTGCGATCATGATTTGAAATTGAAGCTTGCAGCGGATTGATTATCTTCAACCCACACGTAATACATTTGATTGATCAATTTTGTAGAAAATGGCATGCTTGAATGTGAAAGTCTATATTTCCTGAATAATATAGATAAGTAATATTTCATGATGCATCATTTCACCCACCTCCTTGAAATTCCATGGTATTCTTCAATAAAGAGGTACTGGAAGGTGAAAATAGTGGCAATGGTAATGTGAATTACTAAAGAGAAACATAGTAAACCAGCATGTAAGTGTTTTTAAAGATATCAGTTCATATAACAAATTCAGGGAATGTTCTTTTACATAGATATATACTTTATTATTCCCCCCCGGGGATAGATTTTATTATAAGTAACATACAGTAGTATACAAGTATCCCCTTTATGCATGTGAATGCATAGATTGTGCAAATTCTTCTTCTTCAATCTTCAATTTTATTTATATAGCGCCAAATCACAACAACAGTTATCTCACAGCGCTTTTCATAAAAGAGCAGGTCTAGACCGTACTCTTTGATGTTATTTAGAGCAGCCCAACAGTTCCCACCAAGAGCAAGCACTAGGCGACAGAGGCAAGGAAAAACTTTAATTTGCTGTAATGTGTGCAAAATGGATATAATTATAAGTTAAGGAGATGTATTGCACTTTGCCACAATTTACTGAGCGTAGAGCGCGTCATCCACTTGAGCAATTATAGTGAACCCCAAAATTGCTTCAGATGGGTGACTGTGTGTGTGAATGTTAGATCAATTCTGATGTGCTGTTACATGGTGAATGGGTGAATGTGACATGTAGTGTATAGCATGTATTGTCCGCAATGCAACAGAGTGGGCATGAGTTAAAAAGATCTCCTGTGCGGCTTGGTGAAACACCTTGATGCAATGAGTCTTTGGCTAAAGACGCTCCTCTTCTGAATCAGCATGTTGTGGAGGGGAGACATTCTTCAGGATGCTAACCAACTAGACAGCATTCTCATCTGTTAGCGTGTCTTGCCCTGACACTCTCTGTCCCCAGCACACGTCTGCGTAAAAGATGATGCTGGCCACCACAGACCAGTAGAACAACAGCAACATCCTGCTGCAGGCGCTGAAGCCTCATAACAGGAAGTAGAGCCTTCTTGTACCGGGCCTCTGTGTTTACAGCCCACTCTAGCCTATCGTCCAGGTGCACTTGAAGGCATTTATAGAAATGAGCCACCTTGACAAACTCCCCCTGGATGCATACAGGGGTCAGAGGAGGCTGTCCACAATGAGTTCCCTGGACTAATGTTCAACTGTTTAAAGAGCCTCCACAATCACGCAGGTTAGACTTCTGCTCAGGTTGAAGGAGCTAAGCTGGAAATTAAGGTACTTGGTAGGGTGTTTGGCTACCAGTGGCAGAAATGTTTTGATGAGCCCGTATCCTTATTTGGATGTCATAAACAACTATCATCCAAAGATGCACATGAACGCATAGGCCTATGGCTTTATGCTATTTCCCTGGTGCAATGTTGGTGACTGCAACTTGCCAAGAAACATAGAAATGTGCCAGTGGAATAAGAAAGTGACACATCATCACCAAATTCTTGGCTAATAATTTCCTTGGACGTTTATGTGAAAGAACTATGTAATTTGGCGCTAATCATTGGGTAATACAGCTGCTACAGTTAAGCCTATGCAAATATTTATTTACATATTTTAGATTCTTATTTGAGTATATGCTTGCCTGTTCACAAAGTTTTGCATATCTGCTGCCCTGATGTTCAACAACTAAGAGACTCTAGTTTACGCTAGCAGTTTATTGGAATAATAATTGAAACTGAATACTCTCTTCATTTCACCTATAATTAGTACCAAGATTTTTCCTGAAAACCCATACCATAGAGTTACCAAAGAAAACTGCTAGCTAGAAAAAATAGATGTTACCAATGCAGATTTTCCAAATGTTTTATGACATTGATTCAGTTAGTTTTACCTCAAGTATACACACAAGATTTAGGAAGAAAGGGTTAAAGATGTAAGTTGCTACAGCCTAACAGTTTACACAGAGCAGCTGGACAGTCAAGGTGATATGTAGCCAACCAACCCCCAATTGTCACAATTTTAATATGTAACAGTTAAATTTGCAGTTTTGCAAATTACAGATGTTTTATTTAAAGGAAAAAGGAGGAATTTCAAAATACAAATATTGAATTGATGAGAATAGAGAACAAAGGACAACATATTTATGATTGGCTCTTTTGGGAGCCCACCATTGGCTGTAGGGCCATAAGAAGCCTTAAATTGGCTGTGTGTTTTACATCACTCGGGCTAACAGATGTTTTTTTCTCCTTTCCCCAGGTTACTAGTGCCCATGCCTCAAAGTCAGAAATTGTTAAGTCAGGAAGCCCCAAATCCACACTAAAGCATATATGGACAGAAAGCAGCAAGGATATGTCCATCAGTAGGCTGCTGTCACAGACTCTACATGGCAAAGAGAACAGCACAGCATTAGACCTTCGCTATGACACTCCAGAGCCCTACTCTGAGCAGGACCTGTGGGACTGGCTGAGGAACTCCACAGACTTGCAGGACTCGCGGCCGCGGGCTAAACGGCGGCCAATGGTCAAGACGGGGAAGTTCAAGAAGATGTTCGGCTGGGGGGACTTCCACTCTAACATCAAGACGGTCAAACTGAACCTGCTGATCACCGGGAAGATCGTGGATCATGGCAACGGCACCTTCAGTGTCTACTTCCGCCATAACTCCACAGGCCAGGGCAATGTGTCCGTCAGCTTGGTCCCTCCAACCAAGATAGTGGAGTTCGATGTGGCGGCACAGCAGTCCGTCATTGACGCCAAGGACTCAAAGTCCTTCAACTGCCGCATAGAGTACGAGAAGGTGGAAAAGGGTGCCAAGAACACACTCTGCAACTTCGACCCGTCCAAGACCTGCTACCAGGAGCAGACCCAGAGCCACGTGTCCTGGCTCTGTTCCAAACCTTTCAAAGTCATCTGCATCTTCATTTCCTTCTACAGTACCGACTACAAACTGGTGCAGAAAGTGTGCCCAGACTACAACTACCACAGTGACACTCCCTATTTCCCCTCTGGCTGACGTTCCCATATATGCACATACAGAAAAGTGGACGAGTAGAGCACAGACTGGGACTTCTTCCCATCCCAGAGAAATGTGTATGTTAGCTGTACTGTCCCTAAACCTGTCCATACCAGAGTGTCAGCCATCCCAACTGATTTTCCAATTTGATGTTGAATTTTGCAGAGAGAGCAGTTACGTTTAACTGTTAAAAAGTTAGTATTTAGGACTGTAATATGACCTGAAAAACTCTCATTAATTTGTTTATTATCAGTTAGAATCTTATTCCTGAATTATGTTTAGTCTGTTCTGGCCCTGTTGAACCATGTGTAGAAAGCATTGGCTTATTGGTCCTTTTGTTATGACTATTAAACCCTGCCTATTGTTTGCTTTTGGTTTATTTCAAACTTCTTGTTTCAAACTAGATGTTAATATGTTTTATTCTTTTCTGCATATTTCATATGTAATGCATTAACTCTCTGGACAAAAACATGTGGACATTTTGCCCCTGCTGTGCTATTTATGCTCTGCAGTTTATCCTGCATAACTGGAAAACAAAATGAACTAATTTAAAAAGAATAAAAAAATTAAATCCTCAGAGTTTTTACAAAAGGCAGCCGAAGAGGACAGTAAAGATTCATATGTGAATTTGATGCTTTTAGAAATGTGAGGTGGTCTTACCTATGTAGGGGTGAGCTGGAACTGAGCAGGCTTCTCCTTCAGATGGGTTTCAGGTGTCAGGAGAGAAAATGTGTAATCACGCTCAGATATTGCAACACTGTCAATCTTCAGCTGTCGTCAGAGCGTTCCTGCTAATGCAGCTTGATGTTGAGTTTGTTGGGTGATTGGTTCATTCATGACTGATTACATGACTGATTGATCGGTGGGTCTATCGTGGGGGATGGGGCTTGCTCATTGTCACTCAATATATCAAATGTAATGTATTGAATTCTATATCTTAGAGCCTAATTTGTATGAATGGTTTGTATTGTACATAGTTTATCCCAACTGCGATGCTTCTGTACATGCCCCACATGAGCTGTGTGTTTGCCCCCTACCTGCTAAGTCCTCTTGTTCACTCCATTTATGCTTGTTCTTACCACAAATAAAGAAACAAATAAAATGATGTTGCTGCCCTAGATGTGAATTTCATGAAAACAGCAATCCTGTACAGAAGCTGTAAAACTGACTAAATATATTAAAAGTATTCATTGAAAGTTTCTTTATGGGGTGGGTGGGGGGGGGGGGTTAAGGGTTGGAGGTGTACATATGAATTAAAGAACACAGTAAATTTTATCAACTGAATGTTGGTGAGTGTGAGTTCTTTCTCTGAGCCATGCTGTAATGCCATGACGGCCAACATCAAGTGAGCCAAGGAGACAATAGTTTGAGACAAATCTAGCACTGACAACCAGGAGACTTAATCAAACTCATCCTGATGTGTCAGTGCCACAAAGCCATGACTCAGTGAACTTCTGAAGTCAACTGAGCTAAGGTAAGAAAGTTAGATAAATTTGCAAAGGAATAAGACAAGAAACCATAGTCAGACCAGCCATTGGGACCATCGGGTTAGTCTGCCTAAACAAGAGCGAGAGAAATGCATATGCTCACTTTGGCTTTGTTCCAGACAGATTTTGGAAAGTCTGAACAACAAAAAATCACATGACACACAACAACAATGTAACATCCAGAGCAGGTGAACAGAATCCATGTTGCGCACTGTCAAGTCGTGTTGCTCCACTGTCACTGAGTGTGTCTGGTGTGCCTGAAGAGGACTTTGACGGTTGTTTCGAGAGCAAGAGGATGGATCTCCATTTTTTGTACTTCCGTGTTGGAAAGTCGCTTCACCAGCATAGGTAGCTACTGACGCCTACGTCGTAACGACAGCAACCCACGCATTGATAGGTTGGTGATGTCTGGACACATAAATCATAATTGTACATTCTACTGGAGTGTTATGACCCAGATTGTATTTCCATGCGCACAATGAACACAGATGAATCAAATCTTAATCTGGTACATGATAAATTTCTTGGGAGTCACTGGGGTATCGAGAAAATATACCAGTTTGTACCACTGCATTTTGCAACATTTCTTTTAGAGGGATGTTGCCTGCTTTTGTAAGTCTTGTCATATATATCAGATAGATAGGAATCCAGTCCATAAGTGTATTATCCATCAAGACATGAAACATCCATTACAACATACAAAATCTGGTAATAAGTGTTTGTTGGCCCATTTCCCAGAGGCGTTTCCTCTGCAAAAGATTCCAACTCCTGTTGTTGTAAAAGCTCTGACAAAGTTCTTTTGATTGTTTGACTTTCCAGAAGTTGTAGAAATGGACCAGGGTTCAAACTTTTTATGTCATGCATATTGCTCAAGTGTTGAAGCAACTCAAAATTAAACACTGCCATTCCAGTGCATACAACTGTTAGAGTCAGGGCGCTTTCACCAAACATTAAAATCTATTTTACACACCTATTGCCTGGAGTTTGAAAAGGACAGAGAGGAGGAGATTCTCGTGCAAATGTTTGCTATGACAGAGGTGGTCCAGAAAAGTCCATCAGAGTTAGTATTTGCACATACAGTTTGTGGTCTCTGGAAGCTCCTGAATCAAAAGTAGGTTGTTTTATTTCTTCTAGGCTGGATGCAATTTCTTATTATCAGGCTGTCCAAATGAATCCCTTAAGACTCTCCAGCTGATCCAAAATGCTGTGGCATGTGTAATGACAAGAACCAAGAAAAGAGATCATATCTCTTTTTAGCTTCTCTGCACTGGCTCCCTGTAAAATCCAGAATAGGATTTAAAATCATTCTTCTCACCTACAAAGCTCTTAATGGTCAGGCACCATCTTATCTTAAAGAGCTCATAGTACCTTACTACCCCACCAGAGCACTGCGCTCCCAGAATGCAGGGTTATTTGTGGTTCCTAGAGTCTCCAAAAGTAGAATGGGAGCCAGAGACTTCACCTATCAAGCTCCTCTCCTGTGGAACCAGGACCCAGTTTGGATGTGGGAGGCAGACATCCATTTTACTAACTCGACTTCTGCCCTCTCCCATAGTTTTGTTCTTTCTTGTCCCTTTCTTCTCTCCTTCTGTTGCTTTCTGCAGGCGTTTCTGGCTCACGAGCAATGGTGTCTGAATCTGTGGTTGCTGCCTCATTATTATTATAAGTCCTATTATTATCATTAATATTGCAATCATTAGTAGTACTATTATTCATTTTTACTGATGCCTATTGATACCACATTTACTGTTGTTTTTCTTTGTTCATAATATTACAAAGAGTACAGTCTTGACCTGCTCTATGAAAAGTGAGATAACTTATGTTGTTTTGTTTTTTTTAATTAACCTCTCCCGCCCAGCAACCTGGTTTACAGTGTGAGGAGCTGGATACCATGTTGTGCCAGAGAGATTTTACTTTAACAAGAAAGTTTTAATATACTCCTTTTTCTTCTTTATTATTTATTTATTTATGTATTAATTTGTCACCGGCTGGACAGGCGGGCAGAAATGGTGACAAACACCACAGAAACAGACACCACAGAGAAAGGACAACACCTGCAAGAGAACAGAGAATGGGGGCTTGGGCAGAAATAAACATGAGACAATCAGCCAAACAACAGCAATAAACAGCAGACGTAAAAAAAACAACTAAGGGACAACGAAAAAGTCAAGCAAAATAATTAAACAACACAGCACAGCCATGAGAAGGAAATTCTTATTGACATGCATAAAGAATAATGCAACTACCTGTTAACAACTGTGGAGAACCTAAATTTGTTTGTGTATGTATATGTGTGGATGTATGTGTATATATAAGCCTGTCACGGGTTGTTAGTAAGAGTGGGACGCCGCAAGCGCCAGTGGCAGGCAGGCAAAGAATCCCTACAGCCAGGGCGACCTGCAACCCTTCCGGAGCTCAAAGAACTCGAGGCAACATGTCCCGGGGACAGCCACACCCTTCCTCAAGGGAGAACAGCAGAGAGCCGCACCAGGGAGCACCAACAACCAGGAAGCAAGAGAACCAGGGGCGAGAGCCCAGCCCATCGAGAGGCCCCCGGGCCCTGCAAACCCAAGACCAGAGGCCGCAGAACAGACAACCAGATCATCAAGATACACTTCACAGAATGGCAGAACAGAGAGAACAATCATCAAACTCTAAAAAGTGGCCGGCGCATTACGCAAAGCCCACAACAGCATATAGAAGAAAGTCATCTGCCATGACAAACGCAGAGATCTTATGCTCAGTCAACAGTACTTCTAGCTTTGGAATACAGTAAGTCTGTCTCTCCCAACACGATCCACATGATCCTCCTTCTGTGAGGAGGATAACAGTTTACCCCGTCCACTTGTTGATAATCATGCTGTACCACATACACCATTTGCTCCTGTTTGTGTTGATTAATCAATCTACTAGTTAAAGGCAGTGGTAAAAAAGAAAAATCTTAAATATTTAATTAAAAGCAATGGTAAAAAATTTAATTAAAAAAAATGTAAAAGAACGACAGCAGAAGAAAGACAGTTTCAGCAGACCTGCAGTTATCTGGGAGTTTGTTCCAGATATACAGAGCATAATAACTGAGCGCTGCTTCTCCTTGTTTAGTTTTGACTCTGGGGACAGAAAGCAGACCTGCCCCAGATTACCTGAGAGGCACGTGCATTTTTAGTGTTTTTGGTGATGATGTCAGAGAAGGACGGCCTTGCATTTCTCAGTTTTAAATTATAAATGTGAAGTCTCTCTTTATAGACGTCATAATGAACCTGGAGATTTGTTTTCCGCCACCTGCATTCAGCTTTTCGACACTCTCATTTTTTAGTTCTAACCAGAGTGGCATTTCTCCATGGAGATCTTCTCTTACTAGAGACTCTGGTCTCTGCGGTCCCACAGAAAATAAAAGTTTTTGATGAAATGCACTGAATGGACAGTATATGCAGTTGAGAGCCACGTGTTCAATGCCATCAATCTGCTGAATCTCTCAGATCCTCTTCGGATTGGCGGTATAGGGCCACTGATATACATCTCAGAATTCAAAGAGCTGACTGTGTTCAACAGATTATTAAAGTCCTCTTTCAACACTTCAGACTGTTGCTTCACAACATCATTGGCCCCGATGTGCAGTATGATGTTTTTCACAGTCGGATGTTCAGCCACAATATGCAGGATTCTTTCTGCCAAGTCAGACACCGTATCCTTCTGAAAGCAGAGTATTTTACTGCACATGCTTCTTGCATCATTTACTCAGTCCTTACCCTTCTGTGTGAGGACGGGAGGTTATCCAGGTCATCAGACGGAGATCCAGGGTCCTGCAATAGTGGTGAAAATCTGTTCTGCTGTTGCACACTCAGTTGTTGGGGAGGTTTGTTGCTAACTCTCCCTTTCGCAGCTATCCACGGCTGTGTCCTACTAAGAACAGGGGTTGAAGAGGCGCTCTGCCTGGATGATAATGCAGGCCAGCCAGTCGCATCACAAGTCTCAGGGCGCTGGATTCTGCCTGCTACTCGTCCTCCCTGGTTCCAGGGAGGACTCCCACTTTCAGATATATTACCCAGTACACAGGCCTCCTGCTTCTTGGTAGTCTTGTTGGTGCTAATTAGCCATGTGTTAGCATGCTCTTGTCCACGGTTTTGGCTCCATGGTAAAGTGGTGTCATTCCCACATAGTCCATTCACTTCCACATTCACTTCTAACCTGTGGATCTTGGTTTCCAGTGCTGCAATTTTCTGTAGAAGTTTGTAGAAGTCGTCCGTGGAGAAGGGGGGCATCTTGTTGCTAATTTGCATTAGCTATAACTCCAGTCACTGCACTATAGGCTAGTGCTATTGATCGTGTAGCACGAAGATCATAAAAGCTTTTAAAGTATGGCAAGAGCCTACCGACAGTCCCAGTGATTTAAAAGTAACCAAGAGCTGCTGATTTCTAGCAGAAAAAAAGAGAGTTTAAGCAAAAGAATGCAAGCAGAGGCAAGAGCAAGCAGCAAAGCGTCTGCACTGTAAGAAAGCAGGAAGACATCAATATTGTGTCTCAACAAATGTTTCTGAGACGGAACATCAGCAAACAGTGTTTTATTGGATTCAATTAACTCAACCAAGTCCGAGCACTGTGGCTTGGCAAAATGAGATTTTGCAAGATCCCAGAGTTTGACAACTTTCCTTGGGTCGAGGCCACATACAAAAACCCGTGACTCACTTCAGCACTGGACAACTCCCCAGAGGTCATAG